GGGGGAGGGAGGGAGGGGAGAGGGGAGGGGGAGAGGGGGAGAGGGACTGGAGTTAGTACTTAAAGAAAAGGAACACGCTGCATCCATTTTGAAAAACAATGTAATACACATTACAAAGTTACTTTAGTGCACTGACAGCAGGAACAGAAGCAGGCTAACTTTCTGGAGAGCAGGTTGGCTCAGTATTAACCTAGTAACCACCCCGGAAACCTACCCTGAGGAAGTCATCTGAAACATGAACAGAGGTTCCGCCCAAAGAGGTCATCACAGGGCATTCCTAAGAGCAGTCTGGGAGCGCTATGAAGGCAGCGCCAGGGAAACGGAAGCTCGTGTTTGCATAGTCTTTACAAAGAAGGGGCACAGTGAAGATCCACGAGCAGACTGCAAAACTGTGAAGCGTACAATGATCCACGCAAACAGACACTCGCAAACCACCGGCTGAAAATACACCAACACTCACGGTCAACTTCAACACGGTGGCACGGCGGGCCATTTGCTGTCTTTATTTCTCCCTCTCCTAGCACCAGCTGAGGTGAAGGCAAGGAATGCGACAAGTGCGGCAGGTCGGCCGAGCAGAGCCGCCTTCCCAGAGCACACGTGTCGACCCCACCGGGCACAGTGGACGGCCGGGCCCAGAGCAGGCACGCGCTTGCTCAGAGACAACGTGGAAAGGACACTTCTAACAAGTGTGTGCCGTGTGTGCACTACATCACATCTGCGAGACACCCGCTTTGTAAGACTGCGAACAGTAAGGAGCGAGGGGTGAGCTGTCCCCAGGACGCCCCAGCTGCAAGCACGCGGGCACCGCGCTTCCCGGTGCAGAATCACAGAGAAGCTCAAGGCGGCCACCGGGGGCGTGGCCACTCCAGCTGTGCGCGCGGCTCCAGGCCTCAACCCTGCTCGGGGAACTCGGCCCATCTCTGTCATCTACGAAAGCACAAGCGTCCCGGTGCATCCACAGATTCACTGCCAGAGAACAAAACCACGCAGGGGAGAAGCCTGCGCCTGTCCTGCACGCACAGCCTCCCCCGACACAGAACCACCAGGTACACAGCACTCACACTGAACACGCGACCCAGACAGCTAACGTATACAGGCAATAACTGTCAGGCACGCGCAAATACAACACCCTGGAGCATAGAGGACGTGCACCGTGGGTCCGCTGCGCTGTAGGGTGCGAGGGCCACAGGACCCCCGCTGCATGGACAGCACTGCCCATGCCTCGTCACACAGGGCACTGCCCCAGGAACTGCCCTGTGCTTTCCCGACCCTCCCCGACTCCCACCCCCACCAGCCGTCCCCCTCCCTCCCGGGACTGACCAAGAGCACCCCGAGCCCCAGGCCCAGGCAAATCCTGACTGGTCCAAGGGAAGGACTGGATGGGGCTGGCGCATGACAGGACCTTGCCGACAAGGGCTCAGGAAGCGTCGTAGCAGATTTCTGGGACAGGTGTTATGAGCTTAAATGAGGCCCAGAGAGGTCAGGGGGCTGTTCAAGCCCCCAGAGGGTTAGGAGGCATCTGCACAGGAGCCTGCGCCACAGGCGCCCACCTGCTGCGCTGCCCTCTCGTCCCACTTTTCTCGTCCCTAAGCTACTCTAACTCCAAAGTGTCGGCCAGTTTTCCAGAGAAATCTCCACAGCTACTTTCTACAGACAGCCTGAACCTGAGAGCTGGGAGGAGCCGAGAAACACGAGTAAGTTCACTAGGAAGGTCCCCGTCTCCGGCTCCGAGACTGGAGGAGAGTGCAAACCCAAGAAATCCCCAAGCGAAGGCCCACGTGTGATGGAGAAGTCAGCGCCAGGAAAGACCTGAGCATTTACTGGTGAAAGTCCATCCCCAACTCAAGAACGTGACCCGAGGCTGTTTACAGAGCGACAAGGTCACCGGAGAAGCTGAGGCACTAACTAACGTGAAAGCTCACGCCACTGGCCTCGCCAGGACTGGACTCCACCTGCAGCAGGTAACGGGAGGGACGCAGGGCCCCTGCACCCGGAGCAATGAGCTCAGCAGCCCGGCCACGTCCTCTTGGCGGCGCCCCCCTCTCCAAGGGGACTGGGGAGGCCGGGAAGGCGGTACTCCCACACCGCCCCGACTGGGGAGAGCCGGGAAGGCAGCAGGCCCACACGGCCCTACCGGGGAGAGATGGGAAGGCGGCACTCCCGCACCACCCCGACCGACCAGGGAGACGGGAAGGCGGCACGCCCACACTGCCCTACCGGGGAGATCTGGGAAGGTGGCACGCCCACACCACCCGACTGGGAGAGCTGGGAAGGCGGCACGCCCACACCGCCCCCTGCCAGCTCCCACTCACTGCTTCACAGCCACCTCCCGGAGCTCCCAGGAAGCCAAGGACGGGAAACGGCTGGGAAGCGTGGGCACCGCTGGGCAGAGGGAGGGGCAGCCTCCCGCTCCACCTCTCAGGACGCGAGTCCCAGCCGTCCCGTGCGATGCGCGTCCACACCGCCTGGCTCCCACCCAGCGTACCTTGCTGGAGTCTGAATGCTTGCTCTGCAGCTGCTCCAAGTATAGCTCGTTGACCTCGCCCAGCACCAGCAGCTGCCTGTTCAGGAACTCCATCTGCTGCTGGACCGACTCGCTGTTCGAGAGCTAAACCAGAACACACGCAAGGCGAACGCTCTGAGGGCACAAGCCTAGCATGGACGTCACACAGCACACACTCCCTCGTCCCAGCCCCGACGCTGCCGCTGCTGGGGAGGGGGCATCCGAGGACAACGGAAAAGACTGCGTCTGCAAAGGGGAAGAAGCACCAGCACGGGGCCCCCGGCCCGGGCCCACCACGGCAGGGCATCAGGCCCAGGGGACTCAGCCTGGGGAGGGTTCACCTGTCCCTCAGTAAACAACATGAGGAATGCGTGAATTCCAAAGAGGGAGGGATCACAGCTCAAAGACCCGAGCGAGGCATCAAGAGAACGCTCTGCGGAGCAGGCACTGGCACTGCAGGGGGCTGTGGCAGCACCCGTCCCCACTCACAGGTGCCGGTGGTACCAAAGAGGTCTCCAGGCACTGCCCCATGTCCCCCCACCTTGGGGGGGGCGGATCCTCCCCTGCTGGGCACCCCAACCCCGCCACTGCTGAGACGCGCCTGTGCTCACCTTCTGAGAGACCTGGCTGAGCTGCAGCTCGGTGTGGCACACCTTGCTGCTGGCCTTCTTCAGCTCCACCCGCAGCTCCGCGATCATGTTCCTGCAGTCCTCCAGCTTCGTCTACACAGAGAAACAGCACAAAGTACACGGCACGGCAGCCAGGCCACGGGCCCCCTGGCTATCAGCCCACACCCGACGGGGAATGCCTAGTTCTTCACTGCTCTACTATTCTTGGGCCATCAGGATTTGAATTCTTGATTTAAAAAAAGTAAGCTCTGGTTGCTTTCTGAGTTCTTACTGTTTAACAAGAGAAAACAAAACAAAACACTTTAGATGCACAGTTCCGAAACTGCGCCAGAGAGCCTTGAGGCTCCACAGCCAGCTGTCAGGGTGCTGTGGGAAGCACAGCGACACCTGCTGGGGATCGTGTGAACTGCTAGCTAGCCGCAGGGAGACCACACACACTGGGGCTGTGAGCCTATCTGCAGAGATGGGTCTGGGTGGCTGCCGGGATGAAAAGCACCAGAAGAAAGCCAGGTGCAACTGGGAACAGCGATGACGTCGTACAGGGTCAGCAGGTGCACACGTGGCTTAGTAACTGCATTTTAGCGTGTGTGTGCTAGTCTCAGACAGCCACTCAGCAGCGGGGCCATCAGTGTCCACAGAGCTGCTGAGCTCTGCCAAGTAAGCAGAACGGTGTTTTTCTTGCTGCTCTGAGCCAGGAGGATAAAGACCCAGACGCCCTCTGAGAGCACACCCCAAGACGGCTGGGGGCACACTGCCCTCCCGAAGACCATCGGCTACGATCCCAGAGAGGAAAGTGCTGTCCCCGCCCAGCTGAGCAGGTCACACCACCCCAGGAGCACCTGTGCTGCTGCCTTCCTGCCCTCTTCTCTTCTTGGCTGACGCCACCTGTGTCGCCGTCAATACCTGTAACTCCTGGCTCTGGTTGTAGAACTCTTCTCGGTCGTGTTGCAGCTGTCGGATCTGGCTGTGGAGCTGGGTCACCACCGAGTCCCGCTGTTCCTGGAGCTGACTGTATCTGGCTTGTTCTTTCTGCAGACTAACCTTCCATATCTGGATGTCCTTCTCTTGTAATTTCAACTGATCTTTCTAGCAGAGAGCAGAGAGGCCATCACTGTAGCTGCCTCCACGCCGGGCAGCGAGGTTCAAGTTTTCCACGAGCTGGAAGCCTTGCGCCTGAGCAGTCGCAGCCACAGCAGACCCAGAGCCTGACAGCTCACGCCGTCTACCTCGGTGGCAAGTCACGGTTTCCAGATTCCACATCAGCAAACGCAGCATAAGCTGCTTAAAGAACTCTTCCCAGGGATCAGCCTGCTTCCAACTTCCCAAGTCTCACCCCCCACCAACGCTCGGACTGAGCGAGTTCACTGATGCGACGAACGCACCCCGAGCGCCAGGCCTGCAGCAGGCGCCGCCCGACTGTCCTGACCACAACTTGAACGGCAGGTGCAGCCGTTAGAGCCCACGTCAGGGAGTGGGTAGCAGCTTTGCTCCCTAGAGCACCGACCGACGGAGCCCAAGACACACCCAGGTCTGATGGCTTCACACTCACGTGTAGGGAAACAAAGTGAACTTCTGAACCCTTATCATCTCAGTTGTAAGCAAATACACACACAGGCACTTGTCCCCAAGGCTTCTGAGAGCTTCAAGGGAATTCTGAGATCCATACATTCCCGTTGGCACCTCAGAGACAAACTGACCCACCCCCAGCAACTCCCTCCCCGGTCAACAGAGCTGGGACCTCAGGGACAAAGTGACCTGCCCCCAGTGCCCTCCCCCCGCCCGGCCACCAGAGCTGGGACCTCAGAGACAGAGGCCGGTCCCCGGCCGCCAGAGCTGGGACCTCAGGGACGGAGGCCGGTCCCCGGCCGCCAGGGCTGGGACCTCAGGGACGGAGGCCGGTCCCCGGCCGCCAGGGCTGGGACCTCAGGGATGGAGGCCGGTCCCCGGCCGCCAGGGCTGGGACCTCAGGGACGGAGGCCGGTCCCCGGCCGCCAGGGCTGGGACCTCAGGGACGGAGGCCGGTCCCCGGCCGCCAGGGCTGGCCTGTGAGCTCTGCCCTGGCCCCGCACCGTGCAGCCCGGGCCTCACCATGGCAGCGTTGTGCTCCTCCAGGGCCGCCGCGTGGATCACCTTGCGCAGCAGCCGCCTGTTGCGGAGAGCGTGCTGCTGCCTCTTGAAGCGCTCGTACAGGAGCTGGTTGTGCAGCAGGAGCAGCTGGTCTCGGAGGGTGCGGATCTCGTCTGAGGGAGGAGAGCCTGATTCGAGAGCAGAGGGCGGGCAGCATGCCTTTTATATCTCCTTCCAGCAACTCCCCCTCCCACACGCGTAGCCTGCAACACCGCTTTCAAGAGCAAACTGCCACTCACTGCAGACAACCGCGTGGTCCTGGGAGCACTCTGTTTTCTTGGGGGGGGGGCTACTGTGGGGTGACTCTGAGAGTTTGCTTTCTTCACGCCCACACAGCTGACCACCTGTGCCCACCCCACACCCCGTTTCTCAAGGCCGGTCTTTCGCTGGCCCCCCTCCGGCAGGGAGACTCCCTAGCACCGCTGGCCTCACTGGGCCTCCTCCAGGAAGTCTACGGCGCCGTCTGCGCTCTGCCCTGCGGCTCAAGGCGCACAGTACTTGCCACCTTTCACAAGTGGGCAGGACCGACTTTGCCACATCCTCTCCCTGGGCAGAGAAGCCAGAAGGAGCAGCGGCCAAGGGGAGACCCATTTCCCAGCAGGCACCTCCTCAAGGACAGAAAAGGCAGAAGGCAAGCAGGAGCCATCTGGGCTGGATTTGGAGCTAAAGCGCAAGTTTACCTCCAAAGTGGGTCCAGTCGACAGACTTGCTGGGTAAGGACAACCTAGGAAGAGAGTTTTTCGAGTAACAAAGTTACCAGTCTGACCTAGAGAAAACTTAGCTGGACTTCAACTGCAGCAACGTTAGATTCCTTCCTCCAGCTCAAAACCCACAGCATAGAGAAAGCTCCAGAGTTAGAGGCAGGTGCCTCCACTGGGTAGGACCGAGTCTGCAGAGAAGGGGAGCCCCAGGGCTCAGCGCCCCGCCCCCCGACCGCGCTCAGGCGCTGCCCTCGCCTCTGGGCCAGCAGCAAGGATGCTGAAAACGCACCGCGCACAGAGCTCAACCTCTGCTGAAACAGACTGGGAGCGGCTCCACCGAGTCACCAGCCAAAGGGAAAAGGGAACCGTTCATCTGAGCCAGTTTTACCAAGTCTCGTTTAAAAGAAGCTGAATGATCAGGAGCCCTATCAAACTCCACCTTATTTCATATTCTACAGAAGACAAAAGAAACGACGCTGTTGGAAACGGCAGAGGACTCCGACTCTGACCAGCTAGGTTCTTAACCTTCCCTGGCTCTCCTTGGAGAAGGGCTGCGAGCACTGGGCTCTCTGGGCAGGGCTGCTGGTGTCAGGCCACCTGCACCTGCATAAAGTGCTGGTGATCTGCCATCCACTGCACGAACTGTTACCGAAATAGGAGATGATACAACATCATCATCTGTCATTAGAGAGGGAAGCGTGGCGAATGTTCCTACATTCTCTGAACTATCAGAACCTCATTTTTAGCTTCCAGCTTTCAGAAAGCATCCGAGTGTCCTCACACAGAACGGCCCACACCGAGGCATGCTCTGAAGGGGAGCCGTCCCGAACCAGCGCGCTGACAGGAGACACACGTCCCGCACACGAACAGGCAGAGGACCAGCAGGGCTGCCACAGCCGGAGAGAGGCAGCCGCCCCGGGCGAGTGAGACAAGCGGTTCTTGCTCCCGCCCTTGCACTCCTGAATGTCACAAATGATCCAGCACGCAGGAGCGCCGGCTCCCTCACCTGCTCAGCTCCTTGCCGTGGGCGTCTGCTCCCTGCTGTATCAGCCTGTCCAGTATTTCCACTGGGGAGGTAGAGGGCATATAGTCTTCCTCAGTGTTTCCTTTCGCTTTCTTTAACAGTTCCGTGGTCTTCTTGCTAACAAAATGATGGGCAGTCTTTGGCAAGGCCACCTCAAAAAGATGATCGTATGGGGGTGGCTGCCCACTTCCAAAGCCCACTCCCCTCTGAGGTGGAATTTTACAAGGGCTGGGAGTGAGGATATTGGTCTCCAAAGAAGTCTGGCGGTCCCTGTCCCCGGCGGGGCTTTCGTGGGCACCGCCACAGGGTAGGTCTATGGGAGTAAAGGCTTGCTTTGGTGTGTCCGGCCCAAGCTTGTCCAGGGAGGAGTGTAAAGGCTCAGGGTTCGTGCTGGCAACCTGCGCACCAGAGGCTGCCGAGTGGGTCTTGCGCTGAGAACCCAGGAGACTGTCTCGGTAGAAGGGAGAGTCAAAGCCTCCTCGAGGAGCCACAGGCTCGGCCTCTGCCGTGGTGATCTCAGAGAGCTCTTTACATATTGCGGCTGGGAGGAGGAAGGGAAACCCCAGTAAATGCTCAGTCTGGGGGAGACCAGGCGGTTCGGGGCTGCACACCACCAAGCCCCACTGCCACCCGGGGGAGAGGAAAGTGCCACCCCTTACAGGCATAGGGCCTGGAACAAAGTCCCACTGCCACCCGGGGGAGAGGAAAGTGCCACCCCCTTACAGGCATAGGGCCTGGAACAAAACACCCGCGTTTCTCATGCACGTCTGTGAGAGTCGGCACCGAATCTGTCTGGTGACAGAGTAAGGGTCCAGTTTCGTCCCCTCACAGCCGCGCCACGTACGTTACCTTCTTCTCTGTCCTTTTCAATACTATCTTCTTCAGACGCCAGATCACCTAAAAACCCTGGGAGATCACTGAGAGTGACAGAACCTCTGTTGCTGGGTAGCTCTTCTGCAGGGAAACAAAGACAATTCAAGTCCCAGAAACACCCTGTGCGCCCACGAGTGCAAACTGCCCACGCTGCAGCAAGCCAAGTCCACGGTGACCTCCCTGCTGAGCTCCAGCTCTGGCCCACGGCTGCTTCAGAACCTGAGATTTCATCAGCCTTCTAGCGAAAAGCTCCAATAGCACACCCACTGGAAATAAAACTCTCTCTCTCACTAGCCCTGAGAACAGGGGAAAACAGGTGATCTGACAGTCCCAGACACCTGCGGCCCTTCACTGACATGGCTTAAAGAAAGCTTGTTTGCATGTTCCTGAGCTGGCTTTTGGAACGCACTGTCTCACTGCTTCAAGGTCTCTGGTCTCTAGGCTACTCCAGCATTCCCTCGTTTCCACTGGAAACACAAGTAGCCCAGCTGGAAGAGGACGCCCCACCGCTCCCCAGACTTTACCTGGTGCTCTGTCATTCGGAAGATGGTGCTGTCTGTGCAGACACGGCCTCGCGGGGTCTGTCCTCTCTTCCTGAAAAGATACGCACTATTTACACCACAAGGCGGTGGCCCGCATGCTCCCTAGCACACTGCAAAGAGTTCAGGGATTAGTCCAGTGATCCTCCAACTCCCTGTCTCAGCAAGCCTCTGTACTCTCAGAAATGACTGAGAATGCCAGAACTCCTGCTTACACGGCCGAATCCACCAAGCACTGCAATGTTAGATATTAAATTTTAAAGTATTTATTAATTCACTTAAAAAATAATGAACCCATTACACATTAGTGGAGATAACATACTTTGATGCAAAAACGATTATTTTCCAAAACAGAATCAAATTGAGAACAGTGAAACTGTTGTACATTTTTGCCATCTCTTTACTATGTAGCTTTATGAAAGAACCTGGATTCTCCTATCTGCCTCTATGTTTGGTCTGCTACAATATGTCATTTTTGACAAAATAATGGAAGAAACTCTGGGGCCCTAGAGATATGAAGTTGCAAAAAATAAACATCTGTTAGCGGACTTTTCAAATCATCATGGGTGATCATCTTTGATACACACTGACACTTGACAAGTGGTAGAACCTGAAACCTACCGGCTGACTTCTCATCTGTGTTACCCCACCGGTCCACCCTGCATTCCGACTACACTGCTCACTGTGCGTGTTTCTGTAACACTACACACCGCACATTTAGAGACCACTGCTTCCAAATACGGAGCATCTCACTGTACAGCATCAAACTCCAGGCATTAACCAAGCGTCCCGAGCCTCTCCGTCTCATCGCAGAAATGCTAGGGAAGCTACCATGCTAGCGGCGGGGGATGTGCTTTTTAATGTCTTAATTTCCACCTGAAAGTTGAATTTTATCATCGGCAGTAAATCTCAGTACTCTCAGTTGTACATCCTGAAGTGACTGACAAAGCTCATCATTAAGACACTGCCGGCCAAATATCCAAGTCTGAGTAACCAGTGTGTGAGCCACTAGTTCTTTGAAACACAACTGGCAATCCATGACCAGGGACTCGTTCAGCTCTCCACAAGGGCCTGGGGTTGCCGCCATGCTCTGGTGTGCAGCAAATGTGCCTTATGCACACTTGCTATTTCTTGTGCTGTCACAAAGAGCATTAAATATACAGGTTTTCAAGGGCCAATAATTAAAAATACTTTTTATTACCAGACACTCGGAAGTTTCTAAATGGTTCTCTTCTGTAAACTGAAAGGCTATGTCAAGGAAGAACGTGATGCCTACCAGGGCAGTTTGCTGCCTGCCTGGATTCATGCTAAGTGGCTGCTGTTTCAACTACCATCATTTCTGTACCATCCACGAAAGTGCTGAGCCGTGGGAGGGCAAGCGTCAGCTCAGCATCCCAGGAGAGTAGATCTGACTTACTGCGTCCCTACAAGAATTCTGGGACCCCAGGGTTCAGCAGATCCCAGCCTGACAGCTTCTGGACCGTCTATTCAATCGGATTCAAACCCACCATATTTTAGGTCCGAATTCCATTTGGCCTCAGTAGACTACACGGAGGACGCCTGCAATCAAGTCACGGTGCTGGGGCAGGACCGCAGATGGCTGGCACTCACCTTCCTGGGGGCTGTGGCTGTGGCCAGGGGGAGTGAAATGTCATCCGAGTGGTAGAGGGGGGCTGGAGGTGGCGAGGTTGCTGGGGTTCCCAGAGGAGTTCCTTTTCCACCTGCTCAGAGACAAGGGCAGAATATGTACGAACATCAAGACCAGCTGTTAGAAAAACTGCCAACTTTTCTAGCCGCGTGATGTGACTAAAGCTGCAACAGCTCACTTTCTGGGATCCAGCTCAGTCTTCTTCTGTTGGTTTAACTTTACTGCTTTGAAATCCCCTGAAGTTTCTATAAGTCTCAAAAACAAGTTTACTCTTCAAACTCACTACTAGATCTAAAAGAATAGTTTCTTCCATCATAAAACACAAGTCAAAACCAACCCATCAAACCCGGCCTGAGACATACATACCAGCTGTACCAAAGACTTTACTGTAAGGGTGTGACAAGTCAGCTGGGACATTTCCAGGCGACGTCGGAGGAGTGGTCATACCACAAACCATGGATGGGCTCCAAAGAGTGGCCTGGGGAGTCAACAAAGCACATGAGCAACAGCGACTGGACGCTTCATCACCCCCAAGACTCACGTTCATGGCCAACGGTCAGTTAAACTTCGCCTTTCCAACTGCAGAAAGGCATCTTATTGAAGATTTACTGAAAGACAGGTGCCCTGTACAGCCAGACTCAACAATGAACCCAAGCGCAAGGGAAATTTTCTTTGCTAATGCAATCTCATGGATCCCTAAAAGGGACTGCTGAGGGGCCAGCACTGCGGCGTAGCAGGTGAAGCCGCCCTCTGCGACTCCACACCCGATATCAGCACCAATTCAAGTCCCGGCTGCTCCACTTCCAATCCCGCTCCCTGCTAATATGCTGGGGGAGCAGTGGAGGATGGCCCAAGTGCTGGGGCCCCTGCACCCATGTGGGAGACCTGGAAGAAGCTCCCAGCTCCTAGTTTCAGATCAGCCAGCTCCAGCCACTGTGGGCACTTGAGGAGTCAACCAGCATGTGCAAGCTCTCCCTCTCTCTCTGTAACTCTTTCAAATAAAATTAACAAATGTAAAAAAAAAAAAAGGGGGGGGGTGGCACCTGCTGAAATGGGCAGTATAATGTTTTCCCAGCCACATACTAAAACCTGACCCGAAGGGTCAGCTTCACCAGGAAGAAGGAGAAAGCAAGCCCACTACGGGACACCATACTTGTGGCGGCTCAGTTAACAGCCGTGTCGACGGGGAACTCAGAGTCTGAGGTAGCTGCCCTGGCGTATTTAACGTCAGCCGAGAAGAGGAATACGGGGTAGAAGTGGCACTCCCTAAAATGAAGAAGAAGAATAGAGGGTTAGGGGTGGTTTTAGACCATTCCGGGAGAAACCTACAGCCCTCCAGACCATTTAGCAATCTCAGTTCTCTACATCTGAAAACCTGAGGGCTTTCTGACATCCCTGTCCATCAAGGAGCAACATTTAAAGCATTCTGCAAATACCCTTGCAAACAGCATCCAGTAAGGCTGATGTCTGATTGAGCCTTGAATAACTCGGAATGCACAGCACGGGTAACACCTTCAGTGGTTGTAACTACTGATAAAGTCTGTATTTTGATATGCATCCAATTCCAAATTGTCCAGACTCATTCAAATTGCATCAGTGCTACAGCCCAGGGAGGCCACTCCGGCTGTCCAAATGGTAAAAGGACCTCCTTCTGAGGTGGGGTCTGCAACATGCTTGAACCATTTTCTCTGCTGAGGGTTGAAGACACGTTGCCAAAGCTGTTGGCAACACTATCAGGCAGGAAACCAAGGACATTTAAATTAAACTCAAAGGAAAACCTAATTAGAAGACAACAGAGGCAAATTCAATTTAAAAATATGCGGGGAAAACATCCTAGAAACTGAACTAAGTTTTATTCTAAGAAAGAAAACAAAGTTAACAGAGATAAACAATGCTTCCCAGAGACAAAGGTGTAAAACAGATAAGTACCACAGTCACTTTTTACCATAGCTATTCTGTGTGTCAACATAGGGGCTGGCGGTGACATCAGCTGAGCGGTGAGGGAACCGGGCGGACAGCTGGTGAGACACAGAATAGCCATCTTCGTAGGAGGCTTCCGAAGGGTCCAGGGAGATTTTGGCACACTCTATCACAACATCATGCGTTTCTAATCTCTTCCACCTGTAAAAGGCAAGGAAAGTCAAGAAACGCAAATAGGAATCTATGCAATCAAACACTGAAGACGGCCAATCCCGGGCCAGCACAACCGATAAGCAAAGACAGGGAAAATCCATTCCAACCCAAGTTGGAAACAGTTCTATGATATAAAGAATCAGCCGTTCACCTTACAAACCTACATCTGCCCTATTTAGAACCGTTACATCAAGTGAACGCAAACTATTTGACACAAAAATTTCATCAATGAGAAACTAGGCATAGCTTCCAAACAGAACACACGCTGCGGAGAGCAGACACAGGGGACACCCTGCTTTGGAACAAGGTCGACCTGGAACAGGGAGACCTGGAAACTGCCAGACAGCTTAGGCAACAAAGCCTCAGGATTCCGGTCCATCCCCAGACCAGAAATACAGTGCAGAAGACAACTACTAAAGAAAGCCCACAAGGATATTTTTTTTAGACTCTAGAGATTCCTGTTATGTGATCCACAGTCCACTTCTAAGGATCTGTCCTATAGAAATAAACATAAAACGTTCAGCACTGCACACCTTGTATAAAAGAAATGATACAACCCAAAATTCAATCAAACGGACACAGTCTATGGAAGAAATACTATTACACCAGCCTAGAGTACAAGTAGAGGGAGACTGACCACAAAGGGTGCAAAGGAACTGCTGGGGGCCAGCAGGAATGCTCTTTGTCACAATCGCGACTTCTGTCCAAACTTAACAAAATGGATTGTTACTGTATGTAGATTATGCCACACTGAAGTTGATATGACACATTATGCAGGGGAGGGGAAGGGAACGGACGTTTGGGCTAGCAGTTAAGACAATGGCCAGGACACCTGTAGCCTGTGTCACCAGGTCTGAGTCCTGGCTCTACTCCTCGTTTCCTGCTAACGCAGACCCTGGGAGACAGTAGGCAATGGCTCAAGTAAGTGGGGTCCTGCCACCCTCGTGTGGGGGACCTAGCTTGAGTTCCCAGCCCCTGACTTCAGCTTGGCTCAGCTCCAGCCGTTGCAGGCATCTGAGGAGTGAACAAGCAGGTGGGAGATCTCGGTCTGTCTCTCAAACAAAATTTGAGAAGAAAAAACTGAAGCTGTGGGTGATGTTCGTTTTCTTTCAACTCTTCAGTACTTGCCAAATATTCTACAAAAATCCTATTAAAAGAACATCCAAAATGCAAATCCTCACTCAAGTATAAATGTTCTTTCTGACAACAAAACATCACTCCACACATGTCTAGTCAGGAACTCCAATGGATTCCAATCTTCTGTTGCACGGTGACAGGGACCAGCGCAGCAACGCCAAGGGCCGTCCCTGGGCTGACCCTAACAGAACCTGTGGTCCCACACAATTGCTGTAGAATGCTGATTAAGTTAGGGTTAGGGTTAGGGTTAGGGTTAGGGTTAGGGTTAGGGTTAGGGTTAGGGTTAGGGTTAGGGTTAGCAACGCCAAGGGCCGCCCCTGGGCTGACCCTAACAGAACCTGTGGTCCCACACAATTGCTGTAGAATGCTGATTAAACCCTCAGTGCTGAAAACGTGGATTCCAACACAGAAATGAAAGCATCCAGGACCAAGCTGGGCAGCAGGTAAGCTCCTTAAATCCAGAACCTCACGTCCTTCAATTATAGAAAATGCTTCTACATTATTTCTATTGTATTAGTTTATATTATTCAACCACTTTTTACTCCACCAAAGTTTTTTTTTAATGTTTGTTTATTTATTTTTATTTATTTAAAAGGCAGAATGACACAGTGTCAGAGAAAGAAACAGATCTTCCAACCCTTGGTTCCCTCCCCAGATGCCTGCAACAGCTGGGGCTGGGCCACCCCGGAGCCGTGAGCTTCACTGAGGTTTCCCGTGGGGTCGCAGGCACTCGGGACTTGAGCCATTATCTCCTGCCTCCTCTGGTGCACATTAGCAGGAAGCTGAATCAGAAGTGGAGGCGGAGGTGGGACTTGATCCTGGCACCGTGATGAGATGCAGGCATCCCAAGTGGCAGTGTGACCCTCTGAACCACAACACCTGCCCTTTTTCCTCCTTTTTTTTTTTTTTTTGCCCCCAAGATTCATTTATTTATTTGACAGGTAGAGTAGCAGAGAGAGGGGGTGGGTAAGACAGAGCTACTGTCCATTCACTGGTTCATTCCCCTAAATGGCCCAAAGCCAGGAGCCCAGAACTCCATCTGCGTCTCACACGTGGGTACAGGGACGCACGTACTCGGGCATCTTCCACTGCTCTCCTAGGCACAACAGAAGAGAGCTGGATCAGAAGCGAAGCGCTGGGTCTTGAACCAGTGCCCCAGTACGGATGCTGGTGTCTCAGGGGGCAGCTCAACATAACGCACCAAATGCCAGCCGCTCTCCTCTCTTTTCTTGTTTTCTATTGGAAGTTGGACTTCTTTTCTTATATCACCTCAATTCTTTGGATCTGCCTAAACTGAGTTTATGCTCAACTTTATCTTCTAATTCTTCTAGAAAAGCTTTCCCTATCATTTGTAATTTTCTTTTTTAAAGGCTTATTTATTTCAAAGAGTACAGAGAGAGAGAGAGAGAGAGAGAGAGAGAGACCTTCCATCTGCTGTTTCACTCCCCAGATGGCTGCAATGGCCGGGGCTGGGCTGACCTGAGCCAGGAGCCAGCAGCTTCTTTTGGGTCTCCCACGTGGGTGCAGGGGCCCAAGGACTTGGGCCATCTTCTACTGCTTTCCCAGGCCATTAGCGGGGAGCTGGAGTGGAAGCAGAGTGGCCGGGACTTGAACCAGCGCCCATATGGGATGCCAGGACGGCAGACAGCAGGTTAACCCGCCATGCCACAGTGCCAGCCCCTATCATTTATAATTTTCGAGAGCTGCTTCATTAGTTCTGGAAGACTCCTTTCCGCGTATTCTGATCGTGACTTGGGCACAGACACCTCAGCTCTGCAGCTAGCGCAGACAGGCTCTGCTGCTCCGCACCCGGCTTCGTTCCCGCTCCCTCTTCTCCTCTGCACAGGGCTCTCATGCTAGTGCTTCCCTCAACAGTCAGGTCATCTGCCCGCCCAGCCTGCTCCCTTAGGAGGCTTCCAACTTAACATGACTGACTGGAGACTTCAAAACCTTTGTAGAAAAATGAAATTAAAGACAAACATTTGACGGCAGTGCTATGGTGCAGTGCTGGCATCCCATATGGGCACTGGTTCGAGTCCCAGCTGCTCCACTTCCGATCCAGCTCTCTGCTGTGGCCTGGGAAAGCAGTAGAAGATGGCCCCAGTCCTTGGGCCCCTGCACCCATATGAGAGACCCGGAAGAAGCTCCTGGTTCCTGGCTTTGGATCAGCTCAGCTCTGGTCTTTGTGGCCATTTGGGGGTGAACCAGCAGATGGAGGACCTCTCTCTCTCTGTCTCTCCCTCTCTCTGTTAACTCTGCCTCTCTAGTAAACAAATAAATCTTAAGAGGGCAGTGCTATGGCTCAGTGGGTTAAAGCCCCAGTCTGCAGTGCCAGCATCCCATATGGGTGCCAGTTCAAGTCCTGGCTGCTCCACTCCTGATCCAGCTCTCTGCTGTGGCCTGGGAAAGCAGAAGATGGCCCAAGTGCTTGGGCCCTGCACCCACGTAGGAGACCCGGAAGAAGCTCCTGGCTCCTGGCTTCGGATCAGTGCAGCTCTGCTTGTTGAAGTCATTTGGGAGTGAACCAGTGGATCAAAGACCTTTGTCTCTGTCTCTCCCTCTCTCTATCTTAACTCTGCCTCTCAAATAAATAAATAAATCTTTTTTAAAAAGACAAACATTTTGGTGCCAAAAAAATTTTGAAGTCTATATATACAAGTCATTAATAAAAGGCTCATTGAAATGCATATTATTTTTAAAAACTACGCATGGATTGGAGGTTTTTTTTTTTTTTTTTAATATTTCAGAAGCAAATATAGACAGAGCTCCCATCTACTGGTTCACTCCCCAGACACCTGCCAACAATTGTGGATAGCCAGGCCAAAGTCAGAAGCCAGCCAAGAAACCCATCCAGGTTTCCCCACGTGAGTGGCAGAGACCGAGTACTTGAGCCACCCATCACGTGCTGCCTCCCAGGACACTGCAGCAGGAGACGAAGCCTCAACCTGGGGCACTCACACATGGTATCCCGAGTGGCAGCTCAACGCTGCACCTGATAACCATCCCTAAACTTATTTTAGTTCTATTTCTCGGCAAATTCCTTGTTGAAGTATCCTTGTATATAACCTCCTCAAATCCTACCATCTACATTAACTATTTACTCATTTTTAAACATAAATCACAGGGACCAGCACTGTAGTACAGTGGGTTAAAGCCCCGGCTTACAGTGCCAGCATCCCATATGGGCGCCGGTTCTTGTCCCAGCTGCTCCACTTCTGATCCAGCTCTCTGCTAATGCACCTGGGAAAGCAGTAGAAGATGGCCCAAGTGCTTGGCCCCTGCACCCACTTGGGAGACACAGAAGCAGCTCCTGGCTCCTGGCCTTGGATTGGCTCAGCCTCAGCCGTTGCAGCCATTTGGGGAGTGAGCCAGTGAATGGAAGACTTCTCTGTCTCACTCTAACTCTGTCTTTCAAATAAATAAAATAAAAAATTAACTAATTAGTATAAATTCACAAAGAGGAGAGGAAAGGGGCATGAGAAAACAGTGCCACTGGAAGCAGACGGGCAGTGGGGACTGCGCAAGTCCAGGGAACAGGATCCTAAGCAGCCGTGCTCAAGGCTGAGAGTCAGCTGACACACGGACTCCTCAAAGTGCTGGAGAGCCTGCAGCCTCAAGAACTCGGCAGCGGCAGCTGAGTGGCAGGTGGGTGAGGGCGGGGGACAGGTGGGTGAGGGCGGGGGGCAGGTGGGTGAGGGCGGGGGACAGGTCGTGAGGGCGGCGGGCAGGTGGGTCAGGGCAGGAAGGCTGCACACCAGCAGAGCAGCTGATGTCCCCGACCCCCCACGGCATCTGGTTGCTTCTGGGATGAGAACAAGAGGTTTCTGGACAAGG